TTTTTTTATAAAGAAAAATGGTGGGATCCAATGTGCACGCGTGCATTGTACGCCGCCCGATTTGGGGCATGAACTTCGGCGAAAAGATTTGGTACGTTGGATTGGATTTGAAACGGATCGCCGTGAGGCGTGAAACGCTACAAGATACGGCATCGAGTCTCACGCGCCCAATTCCCCCCCCCCCATTAAAGGACACCAATTGGACACCCTTTTTTGGAATTTCGCACCCCACTTTCCACATTCTTCCTTTGATGGGGGTCTCGAGTATCCAATGATTGTTCCCCTTTTTTCCGCTTTTGCCCCTTCTCCGACATTTGCGTTTCCCCACGCGCCTTTTATTTCCTAATAAATTAATCTTGCTTACCTGTCTAATACCCTATGTATGGGATTAATTAATTGCGATTGAATAATTTTTTTGACGTCCGAATGACGTGTTGGTGATGTTGGAGATAGCAACGGCTCTGATGCTGCCACGATTTACATGGACGACTGAGATTTATCGGAAATTCCACGTGGCATTTATGTTTTGAATAATACTTCATATTTAGGCGTTTGAACCCTAATTAGGCTTCACATGCTACAAAAGAAAGACTCCATCTAGCTTATTTATTCCATTTTCTTTTATTTTAATAATTATAGGGACGGAAATTGAATGATACGAACTCGAGCTTGAGTTTGTCCTATCACTCGTAGGCAAAATCGTGAAAAGAAATGAGAAATGGTCTCGATGACAAAGACCCATTTTGTGGACAAACCGTCTCGTCTCTTTTTTCTTAAAGTGGTGGATTGAACTGCAGTTAGGTCACGAGAGTGGATTCGGTCGAAAAAACGGAAAACTATCTCAACGACAAAAACCCATTTCGCAAGTGGACGTTTCGTTTATTTTCTCAAAGCAGTGGATCAAAATTCAATCATGTCACGAGAGTAGATTCAGTCAAAGGAAATGGAAAACTGTATCAATAACAAAAACCCATCTCGTGGGTAGACCGTCTCGTCTATTTCATCAACATGGTGGATCGAACTTCAAACACGTCACGAGAGCAGATTAAGTCAAAGTAAAGGAAAAATTGTATCAATAACACAACCCCATCTCATGGGTAACCATCTCGTCTCTTTCTTCAAAGTGGAGAACCGAACTTCAATCATGTCACAACAGTGGATTCAGTCAATCCCGCCAATCTACTTAACTATACTAAAGTTAAATTAAAATTTTTCGTATAATTTCTTCTACTATCTTATATTCAACACTCATATCCGATGAGAACTGTTTGACTTTTTAAAATACGTAAACTTCATCTTTTAGTAGATATAGTTGACAAACACATAGTAAAGTCATTACAAGGCGTGTCCCACTTTTTTAAAGTGGTCGTGTCTTTCTTGCCTCATCGACCGTTACCACTTTTTTTTCTTTCTTCATGCCCATTGTGAACATTTTGACTTTTTTACCCTTCTCCTTTTTGCCTTTTTTCTTTGATTTTTCCTTAATTTTCCCCAACTTTTTTCTCTAATCAATTTTAGGAGTTTAATAGGGAGTTAATGTATATATTATCAAAATCTAAGACATGAGTTAAAGCCGGGAAACAGACCGCTACGCAACGATTAGGACTCGTGTACGAGGAGTTTTGAGCATGATCTACCACTCATGCAGCGGCAAAGACCCACAACTCTCGAAGAGGAAGAGGACACCAACCGCCCGAATCACTGTAGCAAATCCTCCCTTCATTATCAACCAAAGAAAGTCGGTCTAGATATACGTATAAGCTGATTTGACTAAAACGTTACAAATTTATATAAGTCGTAGGTTCAATTTTGTTAGGTTAAAATTTTGAGACGGAATGTTTAGGATCCTATTCATTAGATTTGTGGAGTCAAACTAGCTTAAAAACCGGAGGAATCACGACTAAAACAGGAGAAAAATTTATGTTATAAAATTTGTAGGGACGTTTGATGACCCAATCGAGATTTGCACACACGAGAATGGAGATTGATAATAAATGGGTCGAGACCCATTTATCAGCTAGGTTGCATACATAATGTTGGATGATAGTCCCACATCGACTAATTTAGAGAATGATGATCAGTTTATAATAAAAAAAAAATACTATATACTAATAAATGAAAAATATTTATAAATATTTATAAATATATAATATTCCACTTCTACCCGTCGCCGTCGTGTTTCTTCCATTGAAATTTCCATTTCCATAGCACAGGGTTCTATGCGTGGCGTGGGTCCCACATCCCAACCCTTTTTTTCCTTTTATTTTTATTTATTTTCTTTTTCTTTTTCTTTTTCTTTATCCAATTCTCCTTCAAAAGTGGCCACCAAAAATTATATTCTTTCTCCCATCAAATTATATTTTCATTGACTAAATTATATATTGAAATTTAAAAAATAAATTGAATAATTTAATATGTTTATTATATTATTTTCAATTATTCAATTCAATATTCCAATTGCAAATTTTAATTTTTTTTTTTAACAAAATTCATTTTTAAACACAACTTAATAAATTAAAAATTTTAAAATGGTAATTAATTTATTTATAATTATAAAAAATAAAAATTAATTTTTTTATTAATATAACCTTTTGAATTTAAGAGAAGCTAAAGATTGGGGCATTGCTCCCTTCTTTCCTTTTTCTTTCTTTTATTGCCTTTATTCTTACATTTATTTGAAAAAGAAAAGGACGAATAGGCCCCTACTGAAAATTTGGAATAGTAAAAAACACGTGTTGAAAAGTTTCATGGGGGCAAAATAGTATTTTCCTCCCATGTCATTATAATTTTTATATTTTATTATTATTAACAACCCCCAAGAAAAGAAGCTCACATGCTGTGTCGAAATTGAAAAAATAATAATTATTATTATTATATGACGAAACAACCCCTCCCCTCCTGCCCCTCGATTTCCGGGCAGTGGAATTTGTTCCCATTCCCCACAAACATGCCCTGACCGATCCGTCCCTTTGCCCAACAATTCCCAAACCAACCCTACATTTCTCCCTCTTTATAAACCCCCATAGTTCCCCACTTTCTCCTCCGCCATTAACCCATCGTTTTTTTTCCTTTCCTTCTTCGCTCCGCCGCGGCTATGCAGTTTCCGGCCACCGTATACGGCGGCGTTCGCCGGAGGAATCCCAATGGAGGTGGCTTGAAAAGGAGAAGAAAATGTAAAGGGAGTTTGTAAGCGCAGAAGTGGAGGAAGGTGAAACGACGTCGTTGCAGCGCGGGGAATTGAGGTGTAGCGGTCCGAATTATTATAAAAATTAAAATTAAATAGTTTTTGGATTTTGTTTGGATGTAAGAGATGCATACGACGTAGCTTTGTTGTAATAAAATGTGTATTGCCGCTGCTGGAAATGCATCGCTTACACTCTTAATTATATAATCCAAATTACTTTTTTTTTTTTTTCTTCTCATGGCATTTTTTTTTAATTTTTTAATCCGATCTCAATCGACTGAGAGATTAGATCTCGAGTTCTTGCAATCTCACACGTTATCAAACTAAAAAACGTGAATTTTCTTTTAGCGCAGTTCGGAGATCTAGAAAAATGGATTACAGGATGATTTATTTGGTATACCTAATTCTGTAAAGTTACTAATACGAACTTGGAGTGCGAGATTTCATTTCTTATAAAGGTGTAAAAATCTCTCCTTAATAGATGCGTTTTAAAGTTGTGAGGCTGATGACGATACGTAACAGATTAAAACGGACAATATCTGTAGGCGGTGAGCTTGGGTTGTTACATAGTTAGATAATTGAATGATGATCTACGAGATAGAGATAATTTTATTTTTAATTTTTTTAATTTTTGAGGAATCTTTCCTGACACGGTTCTCTTAAAATGCAATTTTAAACCTTATTATGACAATGTTTTGTTGTTCACCGGTATACGATATTTTAGCTCAGTTTGATGAAGATTTAAATTCATTTTAGTTCAAGATCGAGAGTTTAATTGTTTTTTTAATACAACGTATTTGTGTGACTTAGTGTGATCAAGATTTTAACTCTTATAAGGTACTTGTACCACTCAATTTAACAAAGGTTTTAAATTATTTTTAGTATAAAGTATTTTACGTTACTGAGTACCGTAAAATTTTAGTATAATATATTTGTGAGTTAAAATATGATCATAACAGCCGAAAAATTTATAAAAGTTTCGAATAATTTTTTTTAATCAACAACAAACGGAATTACATGCTCAGTAAATTTTAAATATATATATATATATATATATTAGAGAAGATGTCCATGAGACAGAGTGGAGAAACGTGAATATTGCCTGTCCCTCCTGTTTGTCTCGTGTTTCATTTTTTTGTCTCCACCGAATTCTCCATTTATTTTCATGGAGGTTTCGAAAATGCCATAAACATTAGTTTATTATTAAATTTAATGAGTAAATTATTAAATAAATTAATTTATTCTCTTATTTTTACTGAGAAAATATTTTAAAAAAAATATATTAGAGTATGGTTAAGAATGAAAAATAGAAATAGAATTGGAATGGAAGTATTTTCCTTAAGGTTTACTTAAATAGGATACAAACTATCAACCAATATCTAAAAACAAAGAAAAATATATAACTAAATCGAATAAAATAAAATATATTGCAAATCAAATCTTAGGATAAAATATACTACTAACAACTCAAAAAAATAAAAAATAATAATATTAGTTGAGATATATTCTATAACTAATTATTAAAATATATTTTTCAAATATTTTGATAGGTATAAATCAATTAACTTAATCTCTCATTCTTTACGGAGAAATATTATTATTATTTATTTATTTATTTATTTATTTCTATTTTATTGTTGAACTATTAAATGTTTAATAGAATTTGGAGTCTAATAAATTTATATCAAATTTATTTTTTAAAAAATTAATTAATTAAGATTTATGTAAAATATAATTTAAAAAAATCCACGTCGGATGGAGGACTCGTGAGGAGCAGGGTCGACTTCAGCTTTACACCGAACTCAGGAAACGAACTCGCGCCTCATTCTCAATGCTCAGACCTTCGTCTTCCTCCTCCCCTTCTTCACTGTCTCCCGCTTCCTCCGCCGCCATTTTTCTCAGCTTCCCATTCTTCTCCCTCGTATGCCATATCCTCATCTTCGTCCTTCTCTTCAATTCTGCAAAGCTCCAAAATCCTCCCATTCTTTTCCTCATTTCGCAATGAAGGACCGCTCTCCTTCCTCCAATGCCGCCGTCTACGTCCCTCCTCACCTCCGTCTCCGCTTCGTTCTTACTTCTTCCAATCATTCCCCTACTGTTTCCGGTGTTCACTGCAAGCTTCGCCAGGCGGAGGCTCCTGCTCCGCCTTCTCTGCATGCTCCTTCTCAGGAACTGTTCGATTCCGCCTATCACAATGGGGCTCCGGTGGAGAGTCAGGATTGTAATTTTGAGTTTTCGAATCAATCGGTGAGATTTTGTTCTTTTGCTGTGTTTACGTTTTTATATGGCTGAGAAGTTGATTAGCGGCGTATTCTCAATTCTGTGAAATGACTGCGTGTATTTGAATTAAAGCCTAATATTCTCTCGTTACTTGGATTGAGGCTTCTTTTTGCTGGATTGGTATTTTTTTTTTTTTCGATTGTTCTGTTTTCAATGTGAAAAATTGCGGCTCAGCAATCTCGGTTATTTATTGGATGGTTTAGATTGCTGGCTATGGCGTTCGTTAGATAAAGCCATGTTGACGTCGGGCTGCTAGTGACAATATTGAGTAGACTACTTGTTGTATCATTGTTCTTAACCAAGGAAATTTTGGATAAAATTTTTGATACCATCGAGATATTTGACTGGCGCCTCTAGAAGTACATGTAAATGTTTCTACTTGTTTTTGGTACTGGATTTTAGAAACAAAGGTCGGTCTGTTTAGAGTTCTTGATTGACACTACTTGTTTTTGGCACCTCTAAGAGTAGATGATCCTTTCTTCTTGAATGGATATAAAACTATTTCTTGTACAAATGCGTGTACATATAATCATGTTGCATATATGTAGTATGTGAACATGTACCTTGATTTGATACGTTTTCTAGTTTTTATTTACTTTCTTACAAGATTGTTATGATAATTTCTTGAAATATTTACAGGGCGTTTCACCTGCCGTCAATATTGATTTGTGGAAAAGAAAGTTGGCATTACTCTTACGTGACAAGGACATGCAAGAGGTAGTTTCAAGGGAAAAAAAAGATAGACATGATTTTGAGCAATTAGCTGCTTTGGCGAGTAGCATGGGACTTTTTAGGTAACTTTTGGTTTCTTTGAATCTGCAATGTGTTTATCACTAAAATAGATTGTTGTTTTTCTAAATGTTCTGGTTGTCATTCTTGGTAGCCATCTATATGCCAAAGTTGCGGTTTTTAGTAAGGTCCCATTGCCAAACTACAGATTTGATTTGGATGATCGGCGTCCACTGAGGGAGGTATTAAGTGTTGTTTCATTTTACAGCCCATTTTTGTTTCACATATTTTAGAAGCCATCGGCACGTGCTAGTTATCATAGTTTTTTGATTCCTCTGTTTTCTTCACATGGAAGCCATATTTTTGTTTGCATCGTTGCCAGCTTATTGTTAATTTATGATGTAGTGCATCAACATCACAAAAATGAACAGTTGTATTTGTGCCTCGTTTTAAAATGTACAATTTTTGGGTTTACTTTTCCGTAGTCTGATTTTGTGCATATTTTTCTAGAAATTGAAGCTTTTTGAATGTGAAACAGGTCTCTTTACCTTCTTGGTTGCTTAGAAGAGTAGATGAACATCTGGGAGAGTTTCTCTCTCAGAAGTCTAGGTTTGAAGGTTTTCAAGATATCTCTGACTATAGATCAATTAGCAGTGCTGGCATTGCTACAGATGAAGGGCTTTTTGAGCAACCTGTGCTACAAGCATCTAGTAAGGCTGTGATGGAACAAATTCTTTGGCGAAGAAGTTTGCATCTGCGTGAACAACAGCATGCTTGGCAGGTCCAATTTCCCTAGCACCATCTGTTATCGATATCCTTCAAAGCATTTCGTTTGGTTGAGTATTTTTTGAACTTTTACATTATAGGTTTGACTGTTCTGTGTGGTCTATGACTAGCATGATGCTCTTACAAATTTTGCCGAATACTTGTGCAAGATCTTTTTGGTTCTCTAAGATGCTTGCGTTTGATCTTATAAATATAGTTGTAGTACTCAAAAGGTTACACAGAGCTTATTTTATAGTTGAGAAAACAAGTGACTTTGAGGTCTATTTGATGCATGAAACAGCATTTAGTTAAATTAGGAAGTACTGGAGTGTATTGGTGAACATTTGATCTGACAGTGTAGAGTTCCTATTACTGCACTTGTTAAAGAAATTCCATTTTTTGTTCATAAGTTTGTATGATTTGAATAATGACATGTAAATTCTTTTTCAAGGTAAAATTAAACTTTGCAGGCTTCTCGTTTTGAAATGAGTTGTGATGAATTAGTGGGATTTTACATTTAGACAAAAGTTTTTGTGTAGATACATTTATATCTTTTAGCTAGAAAAAAGCTTTTATGCACACATCCATATTTTTTGGAAGTTTTTTTTTTTTTTTTGATAAATACAGTATACAGTAAGATATGGTTACCACCTAGGTTGCAAGTCATTTTTCTCATGGCACATAATGTTGATTTTTTTTTCTGGTATTTTTATTCACTTTCTGCTTCATACATTACTTTGGAAAATCAGTCATCTCCTGAAGGAAGAGAAATGCTGGAGTTTCGGAAAAGTCTCCCTGCTTACAAGGAGAAGGATGCAATATTGACCACAATCTCACAGAATCAGGTGCTCATGGTTCTATATATTAATATATCATGTCTTTTTAACTTGCTGTTGCATGCTAACATGTCATTTCACTATAAGCTGTCATGGAATGGCATTCTCATAATCATAAATTTAGTAGCCAAAGCTGCAGCTCATTACCCTGTACAACACATCTATCCTAGAGGAAGGGCTAAGGTTCTTTGGATCAACTCCATTTCTTCAGTTGTTGGTATCTCTGGACGGAGAGGATGAGAAAACCATTCCAAACTAAGGAATGGAATCTTGAATACTTTTGGGATATAATCTCTTCAATTTTCTAGTTGGAATTTCTTATTATAACTTCTAAAATATAAATTAGTTACACTTTCTTTGGAGAGCTTCTCTAGAAGTTCCGTGGTGTTTTATGGGTCCCTTATAATCCATAGTTTGTATCTGTATTCATCTTTTCAAAAGAGTTATTATTTCTTATGATGATATGATGGGCTTGGAAAGTTCCTTCTCTGTTAAATGGAAAAGAAAAAGAAATTCTATTGTTCTTTTTTAAAAAGTCCACCATTTTGAAAATTTTGTTCTATTTTTGTTTAATAATCCAGAAATTTTCTAATCTGTGTATTTTTTAGAATAACTCGTAAACTTCAGTTCTGTTGTACCATCTTCAAAATATACATGTTGATGAAAGCTATTTTCACATTATGGTTTTGAAAAAGAATATTGGTTCATCTTCTCACCCATATTATATTAGATTGTTTGTCAGATCTGCCTTTATGTGAAAAGTTATTACTATTTTTTTTTATATTTATTACGCCCAAAGTTCTATTTTTCTGTTATTATTTTATGAGGTATCATTGTTGGTGTATACTGCAAAAAAAAAATTAATAATTTTTCAAGTGTATATTTGCCTTGTAACTGCTGGATTTTGGATTCTGCAGGTTATTATTATATCAGGTGAAACTGGTTGTGGCAAGACTACGCAAGTTCCCCAATTCATTTTGGAATCAGAAGTAGAATCACTTCGTGGAGCTGGTTGCAGCATCGTATGTACACAGCCAAGACGAATATCTGCTATGTCTGTCTCTGAGAGAGTCGCTTCTGAGAGAGGGGAGAAATTGGGTGAATCTGTAAGCCGCTCAAAGTCTCAAACCAAAACCATTGCCATTTAACGTCATGGATTATGATAAAGTTTCTATTTCTTCATATATTTAATCAAGGTTGGTTATAAAGTGCGGCTGGAGGGTATAAAGGGGAGGGAGACTCATCTACTCTTTTGTACCACGGGCATCTTGTTGAGAAGATTGTTGGTTGATAGAAATTTGAAAGGCATAACTCATGTTATTGTTGACGAAATCCATGAACGTGGAATGAATGAAGGTGAAGAGTAATTCATATAGGTGATTTTGGTCTATGAAACTATAACTTCTCATTCGATATATTTTTCATTCTAGATTTTCTGCTTATTGTCCTGAAAGATCTCCTTCCTCGGCGGCCAGAATTGAGGTTGATTCTAATGAGTGCAACTTTAGATGCAGAACTTTTCTCATCCTACTTTGGTGGTGCTCAAATTATTCACATTCCGGTAATAATATTATGAAGTTCGTTATTCTTCTTGGAGAAGAGAATTCAATGTTATGGAATCATGCCTGCCGTTTAGTCTTATTCCTCTATGAATGAATTTGAAAGATTACAGGCTTGGCTTCAGTAACTAATAATTAGATTTGTATTATCTATTGTTTCTTTCTTGAGAACATTTTTGTTAACTCCATGGATTGAGCATAGTTGTAAAGGAGATTGATTCATTTAAGTGAAATCACATCGTTTGCAGAGTTTCTAACCTTGGACTGTTCGATAGAATTTTTTTTTTTTTTTTTTTTTTGCAAATCAGATTTAGGAACTCAATATTAAGGTTATTTTGCAATTATTTTCAGACCCTCATGTTTTTCTTAGAGAGGAACTATCCGTTCACTCCCAGAGAGAGGCATTTTGTGAGATTAATTTGAGAAATGGTCATTTTAGAAATTGCAGCTCTGGTCATCAGACTAAAGAGTTGAACTTATTTCTTAGATGTTAATAACCCTCAAAAGGCTATATTTCTTAATGTCTGGTTGTTTGAGTTGGATAATAAGTGGAAATTTTGATGAATATGGAACAATTCCAAAACCCTCAATTTGTTTTTTTTTTTTTTTTTTTTTTTTGCCTGTTGGTGGAAGTTAGCTCAATTCAAGACTGGAAATTTAGTTGAATGCAGCGCTGAGTCCTTTCCTTTGGTCTGCATTAGGGATTCGCACACCCTGTCCGAACTCATTTTCTGGAGGATATTCTAGAAATGACGGGTTACAGATTAACTCCATACAATCAAATAGATGATTATGGTCAAGAGAAGACATGGAAAATGAGCAAACAAGCACCAAGAAAGAGGAAAACCCAGATTGCCTCCTCTGTTCGGGTATGCAAAGTTTTTGGATGCTCTAGTACTTTTAAAAATCCTAATCTGCTAACACTTTTCCCCACTTGAATCTTTTGTTATTAGGAAACACTTATGGCAGCTGATTTTAAGGAGTACAGTCTTCAAACTCAGGAGTCTTTATCGTCTTGGAATCCTGATTGTCTTGGTTTTAATCTCATTGAATATCTTCTAGTCCGCATATGTGAGAGTGAAATACCTGGAGCTATTCTTGTTTTTATGACTGGGTGGGATGACATCAGTTCTCTGAAAGAGAAACTTCAGTCTCACCCTTTATTAGGAGATCCAACTCGTGTATTGTTGTTGGCTTGCCATGGTTCAATGGCCAGTTCAGAGCAGGTAATGATTGTGGAAACAGAATGATTTGATTTGCCACATCTCTCTCTCTCTCTCTCTCTCTCTCTCTCCCCCCTCTCCTGTCTGCGTGAGATATTAGTTAGCATGATATGCTCTTTTCCTTCTGCATGACATAGCCAATAATTTTCATCTTTATTGAGAGAGGAACTGTGAATGCATGAATGTGCTCCTGTACACTCTATGCTCTTTCTTCGTTCTTTCTAAAATTTTATTTCCCAAATTTGTATATCCATCAACACTTCAACTTTAATGTTAAATGTCTGCAGAGGTTAATATTTATCGAACCTGACAAGGGAATGAGAAAGATAGTGCTTGCAACAAATATTGCTGAGACAAGTATCACTATAAACGATGTTGTGTATGTTCTGGACTGTGGAAAGGCAAAAGAAACATCGTATGATGCTTTAAATAACACTTCTTGTTTGCTTCCCTCATGGATATCCAAGGTTTCTGCTCAACAAGTAAGGTTATATTCTCTTGCTAAGGATATGAGTAGATCCCTCGAATGTTAGCATGTATGAGGAACCATATGGGATTTCCATTCTATTTTTTGTTTGAATGTTTCTCTATGTATGATTGATATTCCAATTATTTTACTCATGCCTTTTTTCCCACCTCTCCTTTGTTGGAGGGATTTTTTTTTGCAGACAGTTGGATGATGGCTGCCTTCTTTTATTCTTTTAACTAATCCTTCTCTGGCCCTTTAGGGACCTCCAATAAAATTGGAACTAATCCTTTTTTGTCCTCAGAGGCCAGAGCATTGTTTCCAATCACTTAATAAGGCTGCATTATAACATTAAATTTAGTACCCGAGAGGCTGGTTATTTATTAGTAGATACTATTTAGTGTCTTCATTTATTTGATCTGAATTATAGGAGGTATCATGCTTATGTTTCCAGCTTTTAAATTATTTTTACTAATTGCTAACCTATGATCTGAATATGTTCTCAGAAATATCCTTTTTAATCAAACCTAACCAAGTATCAGGATGATTCTTTCTTAAACTTTTTTAACTTGGGAAAGACCCGCTTTTCAAGAGGCTTGAGCTACTGACAGTCACTTTTTGACGTGGAATATTTGAAAATACATATAAATTTAAAACATTTAAACACATACATGCACATCTGAAATTTAATTAAAATAGTAATAAAAATTTCGATTTTTACAAAAGACAGACAAAAGACCACTAAAAGACATTGCTACAAGTTCAGATTATTTCAAATACACGAAATACAGGAATTAAAAGACAAATACGAAAGAGAGTAATCTGATAAAAGGCTTGATTATGATGACCTGTGGATTTTTGCCTTCATGGTTTACAATGACCTGGTTGTACCTATATGCTTAACATGGACGGCCTAATGAACACATAGTATAATGGAATAAGAAACAAGATAAAAAGCGAATGCTAGTAATTGGAAGCAATCATAAATAGGAAAAAGTTATAATTCTTGTATATCTGGCCTAGAGCTTCATGCTGCCCAATACTTTATTCCTGAAATATATGTAATCTGCAATCAAATATGTCACAGTTCCGGGCGTGGGGTTTCTTTTGCCATGTCATTTCCATGTCTTGACTTTCTTTTTCCTTGTCTATACATCCTTTTTCTAAAAGTTTGACCATGGATGACAATGAGATCTGTGTGTGCACGCGCGGAGGTTTGAACATATTTCAAGTATTTCAAATCTTTTAGTCTGTTAATTTTGATCTTTTTTATCTTCCCACCTTGTAGAGAAGAGGAAGGGCTGGCCGTGTTCAACCAGGCGAATGCTATCATCTATACCCTAGGTGTGTGTTTAATGCTTTTGCCGAGTATCAGCTGGCAGAAATTTTGAGAACACCTTTACAGTCCCTCTGCTTGCAAATAAAAAGCCTAAAGCTTGGAAGTATATCGAAGTTTCTATCTAGGGCTTTGCAGTCACCAGAGCCCCTAGCGGTTGGTCTTTTTCATTCATATTTTGATCTGGAAACAATATATAATGAAGTTAATGCATTTAAATCCCACATTTCGTTGTCTATGATCCCCCTTTGCATGTTTATCCACCTTACTTTTTCATGTTTGCTGGAATGATTTTTGGTCAACTATTGTTTGCAGGTTCAGAATGCTATTGAATATTTGAAGATCATTGGAGCATTTGATGAGAATGAAAATCTTACTGTATTAGGTATGGCGTAGGGTTTAATTTATTATTTCTGTCTTGAGGATCTATGGTCTCGTATAATTTGTAATATGGAACAGATGACCTCATTCAGTGCTTTTGACAGGTCGTTATTTGATTATGCTCCCAATGGAGCCAAAACTGGGAAAGATGTTGATATTAGGTGCTATTCTCAATTGTTTGGATCCAATTTTGACCATTGTTGCTGGCCTCAGTGTGAGGGACCCTTTCCTAATGCCACTGGAGAAGAAGGATGTAAGTGTGCTTGCTCATGGTATATTATATAATAGGCTTTGCATTTGCTTTAGTTTTTAACAGGTCAAATTCGTTATGTTACCTGGAATTTATTAATGCCTCGGGCATTTAGTACTTAGGCTTGGTCTTAATCTTTTGGATTGAAATCCAATTCTGTAGTTAGGTTTTCAGACTCCTTTTTGTGGACTAGTTTGTACTTTATGTCCTTGTATATTCTTTCATTTTGATCAATGGAACTATGGTTTCTTAGCCAAATAATAATGATAATAATAACCTCCTCTAACTCTTTTATGTGTATATAGCTCAAGCCCTCAAGACTACTTGTGGCTGATAGTAATTATTCAAAAGAGGATGTCAAAAAAGCTGAGGAACGTAGGTGTTTGGCGTTTTATCGCTTCAGTATGTAGGTTTTCCCTTCAGGGTAAACTAAAGTCGAAGTGAAAAAAAAAAAAAAAAAACTCTCTTTGCTATTACAGCGACTGTTCTGATGGAGGTTCTTTCGGTTTAAACCACAATCATTTTTTTAATGGTAAACAAGGAGATCAGATAAACATCTTAAGAGGAATAACACAGCCTAAAAGCCTTTAGGATGAGGAATCCCTAAGCCTAACACAGAGGATAAAGGAATAGGGTGATGTCTTATCTTCTTCCTCTTCAATATTGCTCATCTACTGAATACAAAGTTTTTTGCAGAATTGAAAATTAACGACAAGCCATATAAATCTACAATCAAAATAATAGAAATAAAAACAGTTCCCTCATTAATGTATTCTGTTTTATTTATTTTAAGGCTGCAGAGGCTGCAAAGTCCCAATTTTCACAAGATCATAGTGATCACCTTGCTATCATCCGGGCTTATAGGGGATGGAAAGAAGCAGAGAGGAACTTTGGTGGATATGACTTCTGTTGGAAGAACTTCCTTTCTGTACAATCAATGAAGGCTATTGATTCACTGAGGAAGGAGTTTTTCTCCTTGCTTAGAGATACTGGCTTGGTTGATGGGTACTTGGACTCCTACAATGCTTGGAGTCTTGATGAACATCTCATACGTGCAGTTATTTGCTATGGCCTATATCCTGGAGTTTGCTCTATTGTGGTATGTTGTTGTCCTTATCTAATTTTAACCAATCTTTTGTCTTCCTTTTTCTAATCCTTTTGTGTCAAACAAATTAATACATTTATCGTTTGTTATTTCCATTGTCGGGGTCAAGTAACTCTATTACAATAGAACTAAAAAAAAATTACCCTATTACAATAAATTATCATTTGGTTGGCCGAATCATCTTCAAGCATAACTTCTTTGTGCTTGCTCCCAAATATGATGTCACTTTATTACGTTTTTGGTGTTCACTAACATTAATGGCATACAGCATAACGAGAAGTCATTTTCTCTCAAAACTATGGAGGATGGCCAGGTGCTTCTCTATTCGGTATGCATGTTCTTCAACTGCTAGTATTTTGTAATATGCATTTATTTTTCTTTTGACTAGAAATGTAGTCAAGTTATTACAATTACTTATTATCACCCTTTTAAGTACCATCTTAACTTTGCTGTATAGAACTCGGTCAACGCCCGAGAGTCGCGGATTCCATTTCCATGGCTAGTTTTCAATGAGAAGATAAAAGTGAACTCTATTTTCCTTCGAGATTCAACAGCTATTTCTGACTCAATGCTGCTTCTCTTTGGTGGAAACATCTCAAAGGGTGATCATGTAAGTATTCTACGGAATCAACATTTTCTCCTGCATACTTTTTGCAGTTGTTTTTTCTGCTGCATTTTTTTTTCAATTATTTTTCAACCATCATACGTGAACTCTTGTTCATGCAGGATGGACACTTGAAAATGTTGAGCGGTTTTTTGGAATTTTTTATGAAACCTGATGTAGCTGAGATGTATCAGAAATTAAGATTGAAACTTGAAGAGCTTATACAGAAGAAAGTAAGTGGAATATCGTTTGTCGTGTGTTGATAGGACTTTTTGCTTTTGTTTTCTTAGTTTTAGTTGATAATGTGTTCTCTAACTAAATTTTTTACTACAATTAATTTAGATTCCATATGATATATCGTTCTGTTTTATAGCTCTTACAATGAATTCATTTATGTAACAATATCTTTACTTTACTTTCAATTTCTAAAAGTTATTAAAATCTCAACCAAAATTAAATCCACTAAAAAGGGTCTAACTTTACATTATGTTTTTAAAATATAGAAAATATAGAAACAAAACTTCATAACGTGAAATGTTACTAGACAACACTAAGTGCTTCTATTCATTGATCTGGTCAATGTGCAGCTACTAAATCCAAAGATGGACTTGCACTCCCACCATGAGCTCCTATCTGCTGTACGCTTGCTTATTTCAGAAGATCAGTGTGAAGGTCGATTCGTTTTTGGCCGCCAGATCTTTCAGCAGCCCTCCATGGCATCTACTACTTTGGCAGCGGCACCAACTTCTGTTTCAAGAACGGAAAGTCGACCTGGTGGTGACAATTCTAAAAGTCAGCTCCAGACATTACTAACAAGGGCTGGATATGCTGCACCCACCTATAAGACTATGCAATTGAAGAACAATCAATTTCGAGCAACTGTGGAATTTAATGGACTGCAAATTATGGGACAACCTTGTACCAACAAAAAGAATGCAGAAAAGGACGCAGCAGCTGAGGCTCTTGAGTGGTTGATGGGTGGAACTCGGTTGGGGCACGAGTATATCAATCAAATGTCTCTGATGCTAAAAAGGAACAAGAAGGATCATAACTAAGTCGATCATCTCCACCTTTTTTAACGGCAGCGTAGTTTGAAAATGCAGTAAAGACAGAGCACCACCAATGAAAGCTCAGGTATTGCTCATCAGTTCACTGTCCTAATCTCATGAAGATACTTCAAATAATAAAAACTTAATAACTGACAAACTTTGATATTCTTGCGATAACAATATCACGTGACCTTGGTAATTTTTTTTTTCCTTAGTAACAGATTTGGAGAGGGAGGAGCAGAATTCGCTGTTCATGAAAATACAAGAACATTCATTGGCTGGAACTTGGATCGATCATAGGGCTGAGGTTGAAGGCATTGGAGTTGAATAATGAGAGGACGAGAAAAGTCATGTGTGTGCAGAGATGGAGAAAGCGATGCTATTCTGCAAGGTTCGGTTCAGGAACTTACATGTGATTATTTTGTATATGAATTTATAGACCCTATTCACGTTACTCGTAAAAAAAAAAAAAAAAAAAAAAAAAAA